ATAATGTACAGACATCGACCTGTTACAATTTTATTATATGTATAGATTACACCGTTTTTCGTTTAGGGCCGAGAACAGAAATCTTCGCAAGCAGATTTTCTCCTCTTATGAAGTCCCGCCAATTTCGCATACCATGTTCAGAGTGATCCTTATGTACTTAACCCTTCCACTCTATTCGTGGAGGCCACTGCTGTCGTTTTGCAATCGCGACGAAGAATTTTCTCATCGGACAATCATCCTTAGCTAAGTCGCCTGCTTTTTCATTACTACATTTGGGTACTATTGTGCTCTGGAACCCTGAGATTAACCACTTTATTCTAGGAAAAGCTGTTTACCACTCTTTTGCCGCCTGTCAAAATAATCGAGTAATAGAGATTTTCAAAAATACTTTTGGGATATGTCTGTATAGGATCACTCCTAAGCATTTCCTTCCCCCGCTATTATTATTCATCAAAGGTGATTGTCTTAATATGAAAAGGTAAGAAACAGGATAAATATTTTGCTTAATTTGTGACTTTTGCAACATGGCCAACAAAGAACTTGAATGGTTTAATGAACTCCGATTCACGCGACTTCTCTTTTCATCAACAACTTATCTTTTCTCCTTGGCCTCACTTCGTGTTTCTTATTCTGGCATTAATTAGCGAAAATATGTGACTGTTGAAATGTTGAACTCGTCCAAAAACGCTTAAACGGTTATAGCGCCAATGAAGAAGAAAACAGGTTGTGCAGCAGGGTGGTCCTTAAAATAACAGCATCATGGGACACTCCTTTATTTTGTTCTGAGTAGATACGAAATAAACACATCCACAAAAACTCAAAAACTTAAAACATAAATTTAGGGGACGCTAGTAGGGCTTGAAACTTTGTTTATTTTTATGAGCTCAGCTATAACCCATATATTTTCAAACCCTGTAAGCGAACGCTAAAATTTGTTTAAAATTTTCAAATTTTCGTGGATAGTATAGAGAGCAAAACAAAGTCGTGTCCCATACAAAATTCAGATGTTGTTATTATAAGGACCACAGGTAATATGAGAAGAGCAAAAACAACAAATGGCATGTATTTTGTTGTATATTTTGTACTTTAGAATATCAAAATAGGTAAACAAATCTTGGCAGTTTAGAGTGAAATATAAAAAAAAGACAATTGAAAGACCAAACCCAACAAAATCAGCTTTTTTCATGCTACCTACCCCGCTTTGAGCCAATATTCCAAAGGACGTAGGAAAAATGTGTAGTTTTTAAAAATCGAATAAAAAAGAAAGCAGTAGAAGAAAAAATGTTAAATCAACCTGACTAGGAATACCTTTCGGATTTATAAAAATATCATAAAACATAACTTGTAAATAATTGCTTTAACGATGTTTACATAGTTACATTGAACCTAAAATTATGTTTTCTTTTAAAAGCGGAAAGCGCTCAGTTAAAAAGGTTGTTTTCGGAAAGATTAGAAAAACATGTATGTACTCATGTACGCAGGCATGTATTGAACATGCCATTAGTATGCACTAAAAAATACAAAACATGTTTATGAATGAAAAAGCTTTGCGCCTTTAACAACTTGTCTATTTTGTTTTGGTCAAGTATCCTTTTTATGAGTCACAAATGAATGAGATAATTTATGAATCTATGTACATATATATGTATGTATGTAATCCCAAACAACAGCATGAATTAGTGTATATGTATATGTATGTGTGTGCGTACGTACGTGTGTTAACATCCTGTCACTCACCCTCTTCACGCTTCACTACCTAAAACATCTACGCATATAAAACCAAATGCGCTTGAATGGAAAATCATTATTAGTCAAGCACTTGAATAGAACAGACCTTTCAACGCTTTGAAGAGCAAAACCACAAACAAAATAAAAAATAAAAATTTATAAAAGCATTATTAATTAAATAAACTTTGTTAAAACGATCAAAATGGCACAGCGCAGAAATTTGAAAGTTTCATATCACGGAAATCGTCGCACAATTGGATATAAAATGGGCAACAGCTGTGATGAAATTCTCAAGAAGAGTAAGTAAATACATATGTACATATATATGCACATGCAACTTTTCATCTTTATCATACACATTTTTACTTTTTTCATAAACCTTTTTCTAACTAAATTCATTTTCCTTTTTTATCATTTTAGTCATGCTGCACTTTGAGATACCACGTCACCACAAATCATCGCTACTTCTCACCACTGAGACTGGAAAAGTTTTTAGCGGCCGTCAACTCCGCAACTATCTTCTATTGTTTCCAAATCCGCATATAACTTTTTATCTACGCTATGGCACCACAAAATCAGATGACAACCTAAGCGACAGCTGCATCGGAACAAACCGTAAAAGTCTCAAACGCCAACGTGACGCCATTGATTATGACGGCGATGACGAGACTTATCCAACGACACCTGTATTTCGCATGAACTGTTTTATAGGCGCCTATCCTAGCAAATGTTCAGCACCGCCGGCTAAGCGTGTACGATTTAGTGAAGCTTTAAATCGCATCAAGGTCATACCAGCTCGTCCACAACTAACTAGTAAGCTGGTAGCCGGAGAAGGTACACTGCGTCGGATGAATTCTTTTGTTGACGAATATCCTGAAACTGCAACGTTTGCACAGCGTATAGTTGGAAGTTCTGTGGATCAACCAAATCGAAACTCTACGAAAGAAGCGGTGACAGGATCTAAGACACAGTTGGCTTCGTGGTCGCCAGTATTTCGCATGAATTCCTTTATAAACACTTATCCCACAACACCGCAGCAATCGATCACCAAGTTTTTCAAACAAAAAGCAAGGCGTACGCTATTCACGGATGCCCAGAAGCGTATGGCTGTAGCCAAGCGATTACCGCGTTTGTAAAAATTTGTAATTCCAATGGCAAACCAAACACGCCTACGATACCAAAACGAACCGCCCAAGGAGCATCACTCTCCATCAGTATTTCACAACAAATGAGGCTTCAATATT